TCGGATGTCGAACCCACGAGGACTTATGATTAGCTATTAACTAAATTAGACTATCCTAATTATCTAAACAAGAATTAAATCTAAAAATATTTTATTCCAACTAATTAAATAAGAAAAATATAAATAATAAACTTTGAACAGAGAAAGAGCAGATTTTAATGATATCAATGTAATGAAAACGATCTAGGGTTATGGGCTATCTAACAATCCTATTGTATTCTTCAATTGAATTGACCGACTAATTTATCTAGCTTATTGGTTGACAGGGTTAATATTGCTCATAAGAATCTGTCGAGTTCTTACTCGCCTATTCAAGCTAACCTAACGCCTATATGTCTATGGAGTTAGAATCAACAAGAACGCATTTATAATTCCTGTAAATCAACCAAGCAAGGCAATTAGGTATATGTCTATCCTAACCACGAATCCGTTCCCCGATGCCCGAGTTCAAGAACTTGCCCTACTCAATCCTATATGCAATATAGAATTCCCACTTTCGAGTTCAATTCTAGATTCGTAGATAATATTCAATTGGTGATCAAGCAATTAAATAATTAAGTGCAAGATTGAATAAATAAACTAATATGATAAATCAAGAAGTCAAAATCAATATCCGAATAACAATAGTCATGAAAGAACCACAACCCTAGAACGTGAAGTTTAGCTCCACATAGACATGGTAGCCAAACAACAAATCATATAAAGAAACATAAAAATTACTAAGTTTGGTGGGAGAAAGATGAAACTTGATGAATTCCGGCCTTCACAGCTTTTTCCGGGTTTTTTTTCTCTTCCCAATATGTTAGATAACCTAAAAGAGGCGTTTTTAGCTTATATATTGCGTACAAAAGTCGTGGGCCAAAGCTCTCCCATTCCTAGTCCAATTCGGCTTCAGGGATTGATGCTAAGGTGGATGCGACGCATCCACCTTGTCCTCCATTTCAATTTTTGCCTGCGAAGGTGGATGCGACGCATCCACCTTGTCCTCTATTTCTCAGCTTCGCATGCGATGGTGGACGCGACGCATCCAGCTTCACTTCTACTTCCCAGTTTCGCACGCGATGGCGGACGCGATGGCACAACTTCACTGCTAAGGTTGCATGCAGGATGATGTTTTCCTAGGTTGGATGCGACGCATCCAACCCTTCTTCCTCTAGCTAAACCACCTTTTCTTCATATTTTGCACTCCGAACACCTTAAATCGTCACACATAACTTAATTAGTCATCAAACCAATAATTACACCATGTTGGGTGTTTTAAAGATTAAATAACATCAAAAAGTGGTTAAAGCATGGGTAAAGTAACATTAACACATATCGAAATATGCCAAACATCAATCACCCCCGCATGTAGCAAACAATATTAATTAGCAAGAAAAATTCCCACAACCAAAGTTAGACAAGACACTTACCTCAAACAAGCCAAACCAATACTCTAAAAATACCTTCCCACGCTAATCGACCTTTGAATGGCTCGAATCTAGCCAAAAACAACTCAATAACATCAAATAATGCCATAGGAATCAAACCCAAACGATAAATGTCGAATCGTTAATCAAATACTCAAAGTCAACCAAAAAGTCAGGCTGAGCCAGCACCCCGAAATCCGACAAAACACATAATTTCAGTCAACACCATTCAAATACAAGTCCAACCATATAAGTTTCATCCAAATCCAACTCTGAATCGATGTTCAAAATCGAATTATTCACTTTAGAAAAGTTTAACCAACCCCCCCCCCCCCAATTCTCTTTTAGATTCATCAATCAAATGCGAAAATCAATGATATAATTATGAATAATAATCAAATCCGAGTCAAGAATACTTACCCCAATCCAAGTGATGAAAATTGCCTCAAATATCGCCTCTATCCGAGCTCCCAATCTCAAAATATGATACTCAAAGTCTTAAAATGACAACTTATATGCACTGCCCAGCGGTACCCTACTCGATCACGGTTGTACCCTCGTGATCGCGATGCATAAAAATGTGCTGCCTCAGAACCAATTTCGCGAACACGTTTCTGACGCGTGCGAATGCGGTGGCTAACTGGCCCCCAAGTTCCGCCAACGTGGACGCACACCGCGAACGCGCAAAATAAAGCTCCACCTCCCAAATTCACTATGCGAACCTGACCCAGGACCTGCGGATGCGAGGACTTCACACCCAGATCAATCGTGAACGCGGTAGAACCTTCGCGAACGTGATCAACAATGCCATCCAGCTTCCCTTACTCTTCGCGAACGTGATATATCTGCTGCGAATATGATGTTTGCTTGACACCAGCAGCAAAAACCAACAATCCAAACATGAGGGAAATGGTTTGAAATTAATCTGAAACACACCCGAGTCCTCCGGGACCCCATCGAATCATGCCAACAAGTACAAATACCTAATACAAACTTATCTGGGGGCTCAAAACACCACGAACAACATCAAAACCAAGAATCATCGACCAAGATCAATCTTTTAAGTTCATCAACTTTCAACTTCAACCCAATGTCCTATTCAAGCCTAACCAATCCCCAATCCAGCCAAACTTTGCGCACAAGTTTCAAATGACAAAACAAATTGATTTCAACTTCCGAAATAACAATCCGACCCCAATAGAATCAAAGTCAACTCTCAGTCAAACTTATGAACTTTTTAAACCTTTAAATTGCCAACTTCCGTTAAATAGAGCCAAATCAACCTAGGGACCTCCAAATCCAAATTCGAACATACATCGAAGTCCAAAATCACTATATGAACCTATTGAAACATCAAAATATGAATCTGAGGTCGTTTCCTCACAAGTCAAACCTTAGTCAACTCTTCCAACTTAAACCTATTATATTGAGAATTACTCTTCCAACTCAATCCCGAATTTCTCGAAAATCAAAACAAACATCGTAATACATAAGAAATGAAGCTACTCGAAGGTTCAAACCACGGAACAAAATGTCAAAGCTCAAAACGACCGGTCGGGTCATTACAACTTGACTTAGGTGTGTCTCGTGAACCAAATATTTTGATTTTCACACAACTTTCGGCGTATGAAAGCCCTTAAAATTATATTTTTGTCTTTTTTTCATGGGGAGCGTACTTTTTTTTCATCTCTAATCAAGCCATAGCCATTACTAGGAGTGTTTATGGTTCGAGTTAGCTCGGTTTTTCCTTAAAAAGAAATCAAACTAATTAAGTCCGTTTTTCAAATATCAAACCCAAACCATATCAATTAAGTCAGATTTTACCGAGATTTTTGACTTTTGTCAAAACAATTCTTAAATATGAGATATACACTACCAAATACATATTTTAACGACTATATTCTAACATAACACTTGTCAAACTAATAATCTTTGAGTAAATATGTTATTTACCAAAATATTTTTAAATAGTGATATTAAATTTAATGACTCAATTAAAGACAAGTTATTTTAAACATGAAATCGAATCTTAGACATAAGACTACCAAAATCAAACTAGAATATAAGGCAAAGAACTAGATTACCATAAAGGTAAAGAACTAGATTATGAACAAAGAGTCAAACGATTAACATAAACCATTAAGTTTCTAAACTTTTAGAATATATATATATATATATATATATAAGTTTTAACTAGGTACTTTATAGTCGACTTGGTTTGAGTTTTTCAGTTATTTTTGTTTAAGACCAGAATCTAATCAAATTTGCTTGATTTTAAAATTCAAAATCAAAATCAAATTAAGAAATTTTTTATTTTTCATTGGTTTGATTTGATTTTCAGTTTAGTTCGATCTTTTGATTTTTCGTGAATACCACTGACTACCCCACCCATCCGCCACATCACGACCAAGCTACAACTTCATCACCACTCTCACGCCGCAACCCTAATAAGGGTAATACGAAATACATCATTCAATCAGCCCGCTAATTTTTACTCTATCACTAAATCATTAAAATAAAAAATACAGTGGCGAACAAGAAAAGGGAGATTGAAACCATATCCAATAATTGAAAATGACAAATTCAATCTAGATAGAACATTCTAAATAAAATTAACCCAGAATCACCGCACCTCCGCCAACATCTTCAGCTACCATGGAAAATCAATTTTCAAAATAAGTAAAGATTAATTCAGTTCATATTTTGAATTTCGGGGGAAAACATTATTTCAATTTCAATTTATAATTTTATAGATGGTCGTTAAGCTTTGTATTCATTACCAAAAGTCACTTTTCTTTTCTTTTTCTGTTACGTCAAAAAAATAACTCCTATGATGTCCGATTTCATTTGGAGCTTCGAAAGTAAACTCGTTCCAATTGAATTTCAAAAGAGGAGAAGAAACAGAATATGGGCAGGAGGGATTTGGGTTCAAATTAACGGTGAAGAAGAATGGAAATGGAGGTGGTACTTGGGTGAAATTTATGAAGAGAAAATAGTGGAAGCTGAGTGGGCAGGAGCCAGAAAGGAGTTCGTCGGAGGAAGATTGAATAAGAGGGAGATTGCTGGTTGACATTTTGTTTTGGAAGAAGAGGGGGGTGTAAAGGAGGGGGTTTCTCTATTCTAAAGAAAAAATACAAATATTTTACAAAAAAATTACTTTTTTAAAAAAAAAATACACATTATTTGCCCATTTGACACATCACTCACGATATGAACGAAACAAGCATGTCAGAAAATTACACTGTTTAGCTTGGTAATATATATATATATATATATAGATAATGATACTTGTTAAATTTATTTCTTTATATTTTGACTCTCCCTTAAGAAATATTTTGACTCTCGACGCAAGGAAGCCAAACAGAACAGACCATGGCAGCGTGGCCATGACCCGACGCACGACGTGGCCATGGCACAACGCAAGGCATGGCATGACAAGGCATGGCCAGACGCAGGGCATGACAAGCCATGGCCCGACACAGGGCGTGGCCATGACATCGGGCGTGGCAAGGCCTAAATCGTATTTTCTTTGAGAAAGATAAATCCCGGATGATATTTATCATACTAAATAAATCTTTATCCAATTCATCATGAGGATACTGTGTTAATAATATTACTATACTAGAACAGCTAGATCCAAGCTCATTGTTGCAAGATGCAAGTCATCAAATATATAACTAAATAGAAGAGCAGACCTTTTCCCAACTAGATTGTTGTTTGATATGTTAATCATACCAAAGGGCCAAACTGATACTTGTGCTGAAAAAGAATTACAAAAAGGGATAAAACACTTCGAGATCTTATAAAATAACTGCTTAAAACTCGAATGACCAAGGCAAACTATTTCTATGCCTTCCTAGATTTGCTTGCTGCCAACTGTGTTTCAGCCTGCAATATGAACAAACAAGTGTTTAGTCTGATTACAATGACTTTTAAACAATAAAGGTATATTGACGGGCAATTATATAATACCTCCTTTTTCACGGACTCTTCCTTTTCAGACAATATTAGCTCGATATGGCAGGGAGAAGACATGTAAGCTGACATAATTAGAATACAAAATCTTTAGTGTGCATAAAGGAGCATAAGAACCTCTGGAAATTTACGCAGATAGAGATCAAACATACGGTTAATCCTTCCATGAGCACGATATGTACGGCGTCTTTGCTTTTGTGCCTGATTAACCTGAATATGAGAAACATAGAGTGAATCTACATCCAATCCTTTCACCTGCAATATATAAAAGAAATGTTAGCCAGCTCATATTTCGAGAGAAGTTGAAGAAAATAATCAATAGCACGACAAGGTGGTATACCTCAGCATTGCTCTCTGCGTTCTTAAGCAAATCCAGAATAAATCCAGCAGACTTGACTGGCCAACGTCCTTGACCATTTGAGTGCCTATTCTTGGCCTGAGCAGTTCGGCCAACACCTCGACAGAAGCGTGTGAATGGTATGGCCTGCTTGTGGGCCAAGACATCCTCCAAGTACCTTTTGGCCTTATTCAGCGGAAGCTTCCTGATAGCATGGGCTGTTTCCCTTGTGTTCTGATTAATTCATCAATTAGTTTGTAAATGACGAAATGCTAATCAACTCAAAACATGTACCGCTGTACAGAAGCAAATGACATTGTAGGATGTCCAAATGTTTAGAGGTGTGGGTTAGATGATTGTTGAAATTTTCAACCAACAAAGATGAAAAACAACTGCCCATCTTGCCCATATTATCAATATGGCAGAGAACTCTTTCGTTCAAAGTGCATTATGTAGCACAAAGCCGATACACACAATCTCTGCACTAGATTTTTGTACAATTATGAAACCACAACGCACACAACAGAAACAATGCTCCGTCCTCCCAACAAGGGAAAAATAAGCATTTTAATCTCATTAAGAAGACAATTATATATGACACCTAAATTCCAACATAATATTTGAGTCAGTTAATAGAATATTGCACCTCATGTTATTAACATAGCAGACACAAAAATAATCTCCAGGCTTGAAATCTGAACTTCATAAACAGTCCAAAAGCCACCATCAGCCCACATGAGTCATTATTATCATTGTTTGAAATATTTTATAAAGCTTAAACATGTATCATTCTTTATTGAACCATCTATCATAAGAAATTCAAGAGGTTCACCCAATATCAATGCAAATTTGTTTCCCTGGAGTTTACGAGCGACCCATTCACAAAAAGGCAATAGGGCCACTGCTTTTATCATCAGGTTGTCACTCTCACCAGATCTGTTGAGTAATTAACCTTGAGACCCACATACTAAACTCCCCAGAAGAACATATTCAAAGTGTAACATGAATAAAACAATTTAAGAAACCAACAACTAACGCTCAATCCTAATCTACCACTCGGCACCATTTAAATCCAATTTATGTCAACAATTAAAGTGGTCGAAAAAAGAAGAAATAGTACCTTGAAATGAACTCTGAGATCAGCACCCCGGGCTTTACAGGCTGCAAAACAGGAAATGTATGTATGGTGAATACAGGTTTTGCACTACTAACAACTTAGAATCTAAAAGCAAACGCTAAATTGCTATCAACAAAATACCCGACTAATAAATTGAAATAAACACTAGATATAAATGCTGTTTCATAAAAACAAATAAAACGAACAATAGATGCTTTAACCCTCCTTTGGAACATAGTAATTATAAATTGGCAAAGATGGGTTCTTTGTCATCAAATAATAGATAGATAAAACACTTAAATCTCCCCAAAAAAAACAAATACTAAGCAAAAAATCAATGTGGGACCCTTACATTTGGTGGGATTATCAGGCTCTTGGGAGTACTTCACCTGCAACAGCATCATAGAATATCAAAAGTTCAAGCACAAATAAAGAGTCATAAAATCAAGCAATTGATGCAATAATCAAGAATAGAACGGGGGAGTAAGGGTTTACCATGGTGGCGGCTGCTGCTGCTTCGGCTGAGAATAGGTTAGCTAGTTTTGGATTTTGTATTTGAGCAGCTGGGTGAATTAGGGTGGCGCTAGGTTTTATATGGTTTTAGAGTGAAGAAGTCGGGGTTATTCGGGTATTGGGCTTTTACACCTTTGCCCATATGCTCTTGAGTATCTTTTCTCTACTGTCCTCCTCATAAATTCATAATTTTAAAAACCATCTTTACACAAATAGTCAATCGGATTGATTGATTATTTTTTCTAGCTGAATGAATTAGGGGGGCGCTAGTTGGTATATATATACTATATTAAAAGCACGAAGGTCATATCGAAATATTGTTCGTCTTTTTTATCCTTCGTAAATATATTTTAAGTTGGATAAAACTGTAATTATATATAAACACTAATAATATATATCTTTTTTGAAAAAAATAAAAAAATTCCGTTAATATCGTAAGAATGTACAAATCATATAGGAGTCTTCTTCACATTCGGTGGTCTCCTACAAATAGTGTCCTACTCAAATTCTTTTTGGTTTATGAATCCGACTTTTTGTATATTTGAAAATGCTTCTATAAAAGGAGTTACAATTCCAAAATCTTCATGAACTTTATCGTAGTTCGAAGTTGCAGGTGCTACTAGATTCATTCAATCTCCAGCTTTGTGTGTTTCCAGGTTTTCTTTTTAAGCCAAATTTTTTTTCTTTCCGTAACATCGTGTATATAGAAGAAGCAGAACAAAGAATTTGAGTTAGCATTGATACGTGTATTATGCTATTCACCCGGATTTTTGCAATAATATTTTGAGAGAACTAAGAATAGAGTCATTGATATTTGGTACTTTTTATTTGGTTGATTTATACAAATCTTTATGTTGTCATCTATATAAGTTGATGCTCTTCAAAAACTATAGATGATCGGTTGGTGGATTAAATTATCTGTGATTGTGCTTATTTCTTTTACAAATTATATTGATTGGTTATTTTATATCCCTCTGTCTTTCATCAGTTAAGAGGATTCTCTTCTGTTTTTTATTATTTCTAAATGTCCATGATCACTTGGGATCCTACCCGTAAAGAGTAGAATTATTTAGAATTTGTTTTCTACTATTTCAACGTTTTGACTATGAAACCCACTGTGCATAAGTAATTGTGTACATAGTAGAAACCCAATGCCACTGGAAGTTCTCTTGATAAATTCGTCTAAATAAAATATTTGAATTGGAAAAGAAAAAAAATTTAATCCATATAAGTGAAAGAAACAAAGGAGAAACCTATTCTATTTAACATATTGAGTATCTTTGTTTTGTCTTTATTCAGCAACTGACTCAATGTTAACATTATTTTGTCATATAAATAAATGTTGCATTTATTATAACGTCTATTACTATTTTATATAATTTATTTCTTTTGTATATAATTTTTAGTTTATTGAAAAGGAAAAAAATCTAATCCATATAAGTGAGAGAAACAAAGGAGAAACCTATTCTATTTAACATATTGAGTATCTTTGTTTTGTCTTTATTCAGCAACTGACTCAATGTTAACATTATTTTGTCATATAAATAAATGTTGCATTTATTATAACGTCTATTACTATTTTATATAATTTATTTCTTTTGTATATAATTTTTAGTTTATTGAAAAGGAAAAAAATCTAATCCATATAAGTGAGAGAAACAAAGGAGAAACCTATTCTATTTAGCATAGTGAGTATCTTTATTTTGTCTTTATTCAGCAACAGACTCAACGTTAACATTATTTTGTCATATAAATAATATTGCATTTATTATAACGCCTATTGCTATTTTATATGATTTCTTTTTCTTGTACGTAATTTTTAGTTTATTGACACGTGCAACGCACGTACGATATAACTAGTATATATATATATATATAAATATTATATTAAAATAGTGTTTGATTTATAAAATAAAAATTTAAACTCATGAATTTGACGAATGTTGAACCTATATGGCTAACTTAATAAAAAAGGAAACACGATCATCATTCCATATATTCAACTTAAACATAGTTCTAGTTTTATAATTTCATCGCCTCCGTAGCTTTTGAAGATTTAAGGGCCATAATTTTTGTTTTTTAGAGCTATTTAATTTCAAATTCGGCCTTTTTGTTTTTTTGGTCATGTTTCAAGTTCATTCTATAAGACATAAACATTATCAAGTAATTAAAATAAGACAATCCTTTTTCCTTTCTCGCGTACAAAATACAAATTATTTTATTATTTTCATCAATAAAAATTAATAACTATATGAATTGTGTTCGACGGAATAGAAAGAATAAGTTACTACCACTAAAGTAAAATCCAACAGCTATATTTTGAACCAAAATTTGTAGGTGCTTTTAAAATTTTAAATATTAGAAAATAATTAAATGATAACTTTGTTTAATATAGAATCTATTTTTAGAGGTGAAAAAGCCTATCTATAGTTTGGATTGGACTTCTGTAATTTATAATAATAATAATTGTATATCGCTGATGTTAGGCTAAAAATCTATGTTTTTGCATGTAATTGCCTTGCATTATACCTTAATCTTGTTAATTTTGGTGTAAATATTTGTGACTCGAGCTTAACAATGGTGTTTATATGTGTAGGAGTCAATTTGAAGTGATTTGGCAAGCTTGCATGCAAAGTGAAGTAAAAACAGAAGCATTTGGAGGGAGTATGAGTTTGGTGCCCAGGTTGGTGCCTGGCACCAACCAAAACGCCAAAGGTAGAATAGTGAAAAATTTCGGTGTCCTGGTTGGCGCCAGATGCCAAGCGAGACGGCTAAGGGCGGATTTCATCCTAATTCAGCTAGGACTTAGTAGTTTCGACCCTACACGTCCCCAACATGTATAAAAGGGGTTCTAAACCTATTTCTTAGGGTTAGACATTATTGGGGAGGAAAAAGGCGACGGGAACACTTAGAAGCATCGAACCGCAAGAGTTTTTCTCTTCCATTCTTCCTTAATCTGTATTTTAATGCTTTCAATTATTATCATGATTGTTAGTATGGTTATGAGTAGCTAAACCTTCCCATCTAGAGTTTGATGGAACCTCTTGAAGGATGACTTTTCCACTGCGTTTAATATGAATTTGTCATTTACTTTTCTCTACTTGTTCAACTATATGATTATTGTGGTTGATTGAAGGGCCCTCAATTGACTGTACCTATTTAGTGTGTATTTCTTGGAAAAGGGTACACATTTAGGTAGTTATTGACCAACATCACTTCTAACGTATATGAGGAATCAATACGGAGGGTTTAAAGGTGGGATTAAGAATAATGAAACCTTGGTGCGATCTTAGTGAGCAGTAAACTAGTGTCAGCTAGCGTAGTTTGGAAGAATACGTCTAGTAAATTATTGTATTTGCTCAGAAGAGAACTACGACACCCAAAGTGCTCACGATCGGTAGAGAATATCTAGGCAAATTTATATGAGACGTGGCGGGGAGGATTCCGACGAGATGGGAAATCATAACCCTAAACTTTTCCAATCTTGTCTATAATATTTGCCTTGTTTAATTACCTTGCCTTTAGTTAGTAAACACTCAAACAATTATTTAATATTTCTGAAGGTCGATTATTTGAATTCATGCGAATCTAGTGGTTGTAATTAGTAGGTTAATTCCATGTGAGATTCGACTCCGGACTTGTAAATATTTGCAACGACCGCAAGACCTCTTAGGAGGCATAGTTGGGCGTGATCAAATTTTGGCATCGTTGTTGGGAAATTAACGGTGTTATTAATTACGGCTAGAAGAATCACTAGAATTCGTTGTTTAGTCAGCTTTCTCGACTTGAAATTCATTATATTGAAATTCTAACGTTTGTAGTCTTGTGTGTTACGGGTGCATGCCTAGAAACTCCTCAAGAACTGGTGAATTCTGATCACGCCCAACTCTAGTCCTAAAAAGGATAAACGGTCGCTGCAAGTATAATCCGGTCTAAAAGTCTGGAGTCGAATCCCACAGAGAACTAAGGTTTTGCAGTAACTGTTAAGTATCACTAAGAATACAAGCTCGAACAACTCCTAATTTATAAATATCAAGATTATGTTTTCTTACTAATTAACTAGCAAATTAAAATAGTAAATTAACAACTAAAGATATTAAGGTTTTGGGGACAAGATTAAGGAGGCCTAGAGTTATGATTTCCCCAATTGTCGGAATCCTTCTCGCTATATCTCCTATAATATCGCCTAAGTATCCTCTACTGATCATGAGTATTCGACTTATCGTAATTCTCTCTCAAGCAACTACAACAATGTACTAGTCATATTCTCTTGAATTACGCTAGCTCGCACTGTTTCACCGCTCACTATGATCACGTCAAAGCTTCGTTATCTCTAATTCCACTTTTAAATCCGCCATATTAATCTCTCATATACGTTAGGAGTGACGTTGTTCAACAACCACCTAAATATGTACTCTTTTTAAAGCAATACATAATAAATAGGCATCATTAATTGAGAGCTCTTCAATAAGCGCATAGTTGAACAAATAGAAAAAATCAAAGACTCAATTATATCAAAACGTATCAAGAATTCATCCTACAGAAGGTTTCATCAAAACCCTAGATAACAAATTAGCTATTCATAATAGTATGCAAAACTATAATACGAGAATTCATAACCAATAATGAAAATAGGAAGAAAAAAGTGAAAACCTCGTAGAAGAATTCTTCGCCTTGCTCCTTGTGTGTTCTGGCCTCCTTAGGTCGGTTCCCTCTCTAATGATGTCTCTCCCTCTCTAATGATCCCTCTCTAATGATGTCTTTCCCTCAAAAAACTAACTTTAAGGGGTATTTATAGGGTAGGGGCCGAATTCTACATGTCCAAAACTAATGAGGAATTAAAATTTGCTCGGATGGCATCGTCGGCGCGAGGCACTGTCTATGGCGCCATTGTTTCGGCGCAAGGCACTGTCTGGGGCGCTAATGACAGTGCCCTGGACAATGCCTTGCACTGTCTATGGCGCTGTTGTTTCTGCACAAGGCACTGTCTGGGGCGCTAATGATAGTGCCCTGGACAATGCCTTGCACTGTCTATGGCCCTGTTGTTTTATTGCCTTGCACTTCTTCTTTTATTGCTCTATTTTGTAGCTC